CTCACTCAACCCTCATCTGTCTGGTGCTTAGTAGGGAATGGGGGACTGGATCCCTATGATAGTCCCTTAAGGTCCCTTATAGTAGTCCCTATAACCCATTCCCCCATTCCCTACTAAGCACCAGACAGTTTAGGTAGGGTTTAGGGTTTAGGGAGTCTTAGGACTCAGGGCCCAACAGGCACAAATCAGGAATTGATGTCTGACGGTGTTTGGGACGAACCCTCGAGTTTAGTAGCCCTAAACCCTAAATCCTAAACCCTCTGATCACACCATGGTGAGCTGCAGTTCATTGGAGTTCTTCAGAGGCCCTATTACTGTGGTAGTGGTGATTGACCAAGAACTCCATGCATGATAGGCTTTGGGGACACCTTATATGTTCCCCGAAACCCTAAACCCTAAACCGTGCTTAGGAGGATCGCCTTCACGAATACTGGTTTTCAGGGGCTAGAGTGCCAACCTAGCGGTTTATGGCCTCTTCTCAACCCTAAACCCCTAAACCCTAACGTAACATTAAAGAGCCTCCGCCGCCATTCTCCTCTCAATGTTAAGCCGCAGATCCTCTGACCCTTCAAACCTGAAGCCCCGAAACGAAAAAGACTGCAACTCTTGGCCTTCATATGGGTGGTTCTCAAAATTAGGGTCCCTTTTAGGGTCCTTCTTATAGGGGTGCCGTACTCTCTTGGGGACCTAAAAAGGGACCCTAATTTAGAGAACTACCCATATAGAACCCGTATCGAAGGCTGTAAGCCCTAAACCTTAGACCCCAAACCTTGCACCAACAGGGATCGAACCCTGAGAAGCCCCGCCATACAAGAACCCCCTACTTAGAGGCCCAGGGGACTTAGTAAGTAGGTTATATAAGCAGAGTTTCAAGTGCCCTAAATTGAGTTATGCCAACAACAGACTTGCTAAGTCCCCTGGGCCTCCAAGTACAAGACCCTTACATATCGCTTCCAGAAGCCTAAGCCGGACCTAAATAAAGGAACCCCTGGAGATGCCTTAAGAAGCTAGGTGCTGAGGTGGGGCAGTTGTTGATGTCCTTTATTGGCCTGGGGGTTTATAGGATTTAGGAAAGTTCAGGGTTTGGGGCTCGCAAAAAAAGCGTAAACTACAAGAAATTTTGGACGGTTGAAGTCGACACCTGAAACCCTTTGCGTCAAGGTATCAGGTAGTCATACGCCACTATCCTAAACTCAAGTGCCCAATTATTGGGTAGTTTTGGACCCTTAAATCCCCTTCAGAACCCTACGAATCCTTCATAGATCCCTTATGGAGTCCTTATGAGCACCTGATAATGGGGTCCTGTGCACCCTTAGACTAAGCCTTAGAACAAAGAGCAAGCGAGGTTTGGCTCGCTTTGGGCATCGGCTTAGGGACGATCGTCGCAAGACGCTTCTTTGACAAGCAGGCGCTTGACTGTTCAAAGAGAGGATTTACCTGTGTCCCTCGAAAAACTAGCCCTATGCTTCCAGGGACCTGACTGGTAGGTCCTTAAGGGGTCTAGGGCCCCAACTATAAGGTCCTTGGAAGCATAGGGTAAGTTTTTGGGGGTTTATATAGCCCCTGATCGACGACACGGCATCGTTTGTATAGGGTTTAGGTCTGTGTAATGATTTGGGTTCAGGGTGTAGGGCTCAAAGCTAGGATTTAGGTGTTAGGGCACGGGGGGTCTAGAGTCCAGGGTTTACGGTCGGGCGTCGAGAGAGTTTATTTATGGTTTGGGTTTGGGGTTTAGGGTCTAAGTCTAGGGCTGAGGGTGTAGGCTTTAGGGTGGAGAACTTTGGGGTTTAGGGCTTAGGATTTAGAGGTTTAGGGTCGAGGGCCAGGCTTTAGGGGTTTCGGTTTCTTAGGTTTAGGGTTCGGAGTATACTTACACTAAGGTTTAGGGTTTAGGGTTTAGGGTTTGGGGCTTAGGGTCCTACACTCCTAAGCCATAAACAACTTAAGCATCCCTAAACCCTAAACCCTAAACCCTAAACCCTAAACCCCTAAACCCTAAACCCTAAACCCTAAACCGACATGCCAGGCGAAGAGCTCTAAGGCCCACGTCCTGCAGGTCCACTGGCAGGCCCGTGCCGGGTGGTTGGGGCAGAAGTCAATAGCCCAAACCCCTGAGACCTAACATAGGGGCCGAAAAAATTACCGATGCTATTTTGGTGGGTTCCTTATTGTATTTATAGTGTGATGGGCCCCCAAACCGTATTCCAATTATCCAGGCCCCTATTTTAAGGTTTCAGTTTAGAAGCTCAAGGCTACGATAGTGGTAGTAGTAAAATACCTGGGCCACAGAGTACCCCCTCGCACCAGTAGTGAAGCAAGAACACATAGGTATCATTACTTCTGCATGAGTTTCCGGGTATATGAAGAATACTCACGGCCCACCGTGTCATATAATTATTATATTACTAGGACTACAACAACGAATACTGGCAACACACGTCGTAACATACTCCTAGGTTGGTCCTAGGTGCTGGCTGCGCCGTCATCGAGCGTAGTACTATGCCGGTATTGCAGGGTGAGGAGGATGGGGCTGATAGGTACGAGTGTGGAGGGTATCG